TTAAATGCTTCATATTTTCAAACGCAATCAAATGTATTCTCGACTAAGGGACTAGAAAGATATGCATAAATAATTTTTTTCTGTGTTCTTGACCTTTGTTTCATCCCTATGTTAATTATATAAATATTACAATAAACACATGGTATGTTAGCCCAGTCTAGTAAATTTCATATTATTTTTAAAAGCAAACTACATTGTGTTGAAAATTAATGTTCTTCACAAATACAAAACAACTACAAAGCGATCTACCTTAATCATTTGACTTATTAAATGTTTATTTATTCTTAAAATAGTCATTAGCATAGTAAAATCTACAACTCTTACCAAAAATTAAACGCAGTCTAAATTGGACTGAGTTATATGAGAAATAAATAATATTTTCACGGTTTCTAATAAAATATAATTTGATTTTCAAATGTCTGGAACAGGTTAAATATATTTTGATTATGTTCGGTGACCCGCAGAGTAGAAAAATTGTATTTCACTTTCAGTCTTTACGGTGTTTCCAATATGTTTTTGAAGCTTTTCTATGACGGCTATTTTTGATCCCAGGGAAACCTACACTCAGGGACTAGTGAAGTATAATATCATATAAAAGTTGCAGATGGATATAATTAAGTCTTGACTTATTCCGTTAGAAAAAACATAAGGTATTCAAACAGTCATGATCCATGTTTAAGGTGCACGTTTAAGTCGGCTTTGCTGAGTGCACATAAAACATTTGGCAGTGGTTTCCACACCCACAGTGAATCCCTTCCTCGCAGAAGCCCCGTTCACCTTACATAATTGAATCCCCTTCGAGACTTTTTTGCTGTTTGATCCGCTGATTTCGTGTGCCGCGCTTTGGCATTTGGCGAAATCTGCTCCAGCCGGCCTCAGGAACCTTTCTGCCCGTCGCCACTCTCGCTCCTCGCATAATGCGCCTGGCTCATTTGCATGTTCGCCTGCCTTCGCCTGCCGCATGCTCTCTGACCCAAAAAAATCTTAAACAAAGTGAAAAGCCCTGCCGACACGAGACACGTCAGAAACAGAGCTGTTCTTTGCACCTGTCCGGGGAGAATGTCACTCCGTGCATAAAGTATTCACGATGTCCGCTGCATTTGGAAGCATGTATCGATAAAATAAATAGACGGGAAGCCGCCGGCGAGCCTTAGTCATCCCGGGACCCTGCAGCCGAGCAAACGCTGCGCCGTGCCATGTTTCAGAGCTCCTCGCACTTCCTGCCGCAGTCCCTCCAGCACTCGTTCCTCTACCGCCTCATCCGGAAGATCCAGGTGTGCCATGAGCCGGACTTAGTGGAGGCCCGGGAGTTCAGGTGGGTCGCCTAGCCGCCTAGCCGCCTAGCTGCCTTCGTGGGGCTAATTAGCTCCGCCGACTTTGCGGAGTGAAAGTGAAAAACCGCGCAGGGCGAGACCGAGCGGAGGATACAAACTTTTGCAAATGACATTTGGTCGGCAGGTTGGTGTTGCAACGGCCTTGGCCTTTGGTTGCACGCACATGTGCCCCTTCCGCCGACTCCCCCCGTAAATGTGGATCGCTTTTCGCACAGACCTCGCAGAAAGTTCGGGACACTCTGGGTGCGTGTGCAGGCATTTGGCATTAATCGCTTGTTATTTATTGCACTTTACGCTTGTTTTCCCAAAGGCCACGTCGACACGGCCCTTCCCTCTGGCCGACGAGTAGAAGGTTCACGGCGTAGTTGCTGTTTTCCTAAAAAAACTTTTCACTGCTTGCCATATTATTTCTATTTTTGCGGGCACACACACACTCAAGGAAAACTTCCCTGGCAAAACTCGTATTGGATAATGGCACTGAAAAGCCGTTTGCTAATACAATCAGAAATACCCAGAACTTCAGAAAGTAATACATGATTTCCCATATCCCATGTCTCAATTACCGGGGTCAGTTTCTTAGGGTAAACACAACAGTAGGGGAAGTAAAATGCGTGAACGGCCATTGAGCTGGGAAGCATTGACCCCAACATCAAATGCAAACATCATGCCCACGACGCAAACAATAAATTGCTGTGGTGAGCAAACAACTACAGAGAACAATTAATACAAAAATACAATTAAAAGACACAAGGACCTGGAACAAAGAAAATCAAAAGGGGCCAGTAAAAGTGCTTTCGCGGAAAACAAAGGCCGTCAAATATATAAATAGAAAGGCAGCCTGCTGGAGTAGTCGAACGGGTATGAAGGGACTTCTCCATAATTATGCAAATTTAATTGGGGAGCCTTGTGGCCTGCCATGACTTGCTCTCCAAGTTGCTGAAAAATGTCAAGTTTCTGGGAGGAGAGGAAGAAAAAAGAGTTTTCTGGACAAACTCTTCCTTTTCCTCCTACCTTCTTCTTGATGTTGATAACTTATGCGTGATAATTGTCCCCCATTCATTTTCGACGCTTGCCTTCGTGTTACTCCAATGCATTTTAATGCATTTTTAATGAAGCACGGGACACCTAAACAAACCAGGACAACGAAATCGCCACCGGCCAACTCGGCGTTTCAGCCGTGTCCTTTAATGCAATCGAGCTACCAACTCCGACTCTCTCCAAACTCGGTTCTAACCAAAAGCGGCTCAGTCGTTTGCCGGCTCTTAACGTCATCACATCGTGTCGTTCTGCCAAACAGCTCTCGCGTATATTTGGCCCAAGTGAAGTTGGCACGAAGACCCAAGATATACTATACATAGAAAAAAGTGTGCTACGGAAAAGTTGGTGTTACAATGAAAATGTTCGAGATCTCCAAGTTGTTCTCACTGCGAAGGTACGGAACTATCCCAGATGTATAGAACATCTATATCCGAAAACATAACTTTTAGCACTCAAACTTTTGTGCAAAGTGGTAAATCTAATTTTTCTTGTCACACTGTTCACAAGTATTTTATATCAGCTCATCAGTGAAAAGTTTGAACATACTTTTGTAGCCAGCCTTAATAATGTTGTGATTGCAGAGCGATTGAAACATTAATAAGTCACAAGGACCTCGAATGAAGTCCTTCCCCCAACTCATTGTACTGCTGCACTAGTTTGCTATTGCACAGAGGGTTCTCCGACAATCGGGGACCCAGTTCGAAAGCCACTCCTGTTTATGGACAGAGAACTCCAAGAGAAAGAAGCGAAGAAAGCCCAAGAAGCACACCTTGAATGTCTTCCGGGCGTCGCAAGCAAGAACAACAAAGGGGGAAACTTCTTGAACAACTTTGGGGCAACTGCGCATGGATTTGGGTTTGTTGTGGTTTTTGCTTTGTTAACTTGGTCGCATTGCTATGACATTGGCTAGGGGGTGACCTGGGACCTGGAACTCGGAACTCGGAACTTGGGACCTGGGAGCAGGTTAGCGATTCCCCAATTCAGTGGTTGGTTGTCAGTCAAAACATACGTCCGTCCAAGCGGTCTGCGTATTCAAATACTTTATTGATCGACGGGGTGGAACAACATTTGGCGCATGGTGTGTATCGTAGACTTACCAGAACTAATGAAAAATAAACCCACTTCATCCACGCTTCAAAACATTACTTTAGTGGCAAATACGTCAGATTTTAGCCAGATGGGTGCCTAGGTAAGTCATCTGCTTGCTACTTCTTTGGTGTCCTGTGTTGTTCTGGCTTGTTTGTACTTGCATTCACCTGCCGAGGGGAAACCCTTCCCCTTCCAGCACACAAATATTTAATTGCACGTTATGTTTATGACCTACACACATGTTAGAATGAATCAGAAAAGCCCTTAACCAGGGTTCAGTTACCTCGGCTTCGTTGTTGGCATTGAACTGCCAACTCAAAAAGTCCTCGAACAGCCCGCAATTCCAGTTTCGAAGGAACATGCTCGGCTCGGAGGAAAAATCGATTGAGCTGTCGTGCTTATGGATTTTTTCAAGTTAATTATCCTTAGTGTCGTGTTTAATGGAAATCAAACATTCATAACGTCGATATGTTATACGGCTCACAACAATTTGCGCAATTATTTCTTTTCGAACTGAAGGGCGGGTCATGTTATGTGCCTTCACATGATGGATAGTAGAAACTGTGGGTTTTTTAAAAAACGATGTTTGAAGTTTTCGTCGAAAAAAGATCTATTCCGCTCGGACTAAGAGTTGTCACGATACAATCTAATGGCTAAAGATATAATCTGGTGTCCTTTTCCTATTTTCTGGGTCTAGGTATACTGATCCTAAATTTAATTTAATCCTCTCAAATACTCTTGTTTTATAGCGAATATAGGGGATTTTAGTATGACAATTTATTATCTAGAGATTGAACACGGAACTTCATTTGAATTAAATTTGTATAAATCGTGAATAAAAACCATACTATACATGATTAGAAACCAAACAGAAAGCTATAAGAATACATGAAGAGATATGAATATTTGGAGAATTATGAATGTTTCGAATAGTAAGGCCCGATCTTCATGCTTAAGTTAGAACTCTGGTCCTTCATCAAGGCAAGGCGAATTATTTGTTCATTTCGTCCTAAAACCGTACTTAATTGACATTTTTACTGCTGAATTTATTTTCTTTACATTTAAAATTTTCTTCACACTTAAAGGCTTAAGAATATTTGGTAAAACTTTCACCTTTTCAAAAATATTGATACAAGTTGTATATTCTCCCCAGACCTTGACAGGGCTTTTATTAGTCAGAAGCATAAATTAATAAGTTCTTATGTTTTTAGGCTTTAGAAAGTTAATTAGTCTTTGATTTTTGAAAAGTTACGGAGTTTAAAAGTTAAGTAATCGGCTTTTTAAAAAGACACGAAAATGACTTTTTTGTTCACCAATTGTAATTCGTTATTAAAATACACCAATTCTCAATCAAAATAAATTTACTCATCCTAAACGTTTTCCCATTTGTTTTTTGTTTCATTCCATCCAAATCAACTAACAAAAACGCAAATCATACCAAATTCGTGTAACCACACCTCCACAATGTTCTGGACATGCCAAAAATGAACGAATCCCCAATGAAACTTGTAAATAAATACATAAAAATCCGAAAAACAGCCCACAAAATAAATTCTAGAACGAAAATCACCCACTCTCGTACTCAGTCGAATGCAAGTCTTCCTTTGAGATCCACATGTGTTCGTGTCTGAGCTACCAAACAGAAAAATTTATAAACATTATATGTGCTCAATGCAAAGCAATGCGACGTGCAAACATCAAACGTGGTCAGTGTTTGAGCCTAAGGTAAAATCCGTTCCCCACTCAACCAAACGTTAACCGCACGGAGATATGAGTCCTGGGGTAACCCCTTCTTTTGCACTTCCTTACAGACCACAAGGTAGCAGCAAAATGGATCGCTACGAGAAGCTCAGTCGGCTGGGCGAGGGCTCCTACGGCGTGGTCTACAAGTGCCGGGACCGGGAAACAGGAGCCCTGGTGGCGGTCAAGAGGTTCGTGGAGTCCGAGGACGACCCGGCTATCCGGAAAATCGCACTCAGAGAAATCAGGCTGCTGAAGGTGAGCATTGACTGTCTACACAGTGAGTTGTAGAAAGTAATCCAGTTAATCAGTTAAAAGTGAACAGATGGAACCGAAGAACTAAGAATAATAAATAGATCAGCAGTATCCTGAAATGCCGAAAACTATAGCCACTTCAGAAAGCTTTGAAAATTACTCTCAAAAGTCGTAATTCAGATATGAAAATTTGTAACAAGTAAATTAAATTTATTGTACTGTACAAGTTGAGAGAGTTTATAGATGTATTCGATTTTCTAGCCAGTACAAGTTTAACCAAAATTTGTTAACTGGAAATGGCAACTGTGATACCCTTTTCAAAAATTATCTGTAAGCTTTTTGAGTCGATATGATCACTTTATTGATTTATGTTCCCTTTTAAACAATTAATACAAATTAGATATACTCACTCATTAGCGAATTTGATGGTCTATAATGAATGGTCTTACCGAATTGCAGAACCTGAAGCACCCGAACCTGGTCTCCCTGCTGGAGGTGTTCCGGCGCAAGCGGCGCCTCCACCTGGTCTTCGAGTTCTGCGAGCTGACGGTGCTGCACGAGCTTGAGCGGCACCCGCAGGGCTGCCCGGAGCACCTGACCAAGCAGATCTGCCACCAGACGCTGCTGGGCGTGGCCTACTGCCACAAGCAGGGCTGCCTGCACCGGGACATCAAGCCGGAGAACATCCTGCTGACGGCGCAGGGGCAGGTGAAGCTGTGCGACTTCGGCTTCGCGCGGATGCTCAGCCCGGGGGAGAACTACACGGACTACGTGGCCACCCGGTGGTACCGGGCGCCGGAGCTCCTCGTCGGCGACACCCAGTACGGCACGCCCGTCGACGTCTGGGCCATCGGCTGCCTCTTCGCGGAGCTGGTGCGGGGGGAGGCCCTCTGGCCGGGGCGCAGCGACGTGGACCAGCTCTACCTGATCCGCAAGACGCTCGGCGACCTGCTGCCGCGCCACATCCAGATCTTCGGGCAGAACGAGTACTTCAAGGGCATCACGCTGCCGGTGCCGCCCACGCTGGAGCCGCTCGAGGACAAGATGCCGGCCAAGTCGCTGCAGAACCCCCTCACCATCGACTTCCTGCGGAAGTGCCTGGACAAGGACCCGGCCAAGCGCTGGTCCTGCGAGAAGCTCATCAAGCACTCCTACTTCGACGACTACCTCGCCAAGCAGCGGGAGCAGGAGCACGTCAGCAGCCTGGAGGCGGCCTCCCTGCGCCAGCAGCAGCTCGCCTCCCAGCAGTTCATGCTCGCCACGGCCGCCCAGCAGCTCCAGACGGGCCCCGCCCAGGCGGCGGCCATCGCGGCGGCCCGGGACAAATCAAAGGTGCGTAGCTCCCCCGTTTCTCGTACTGATTCAGGCCAAAAGCGTTTCTCTTCATGCTTCACACCCCAAAAAGTGGTACACTATAAATACAATTTTATCAGTTGCGGCTGCCACAAACCACCTGCAACTAGAAAATCAGTTTATATGCCCCTGCAGTTGAACCTAAGCCTATAAAACTACCAGATTTATCACAAACAAGACTTTTCTAGAGTCATGTTAAGTTTTAAACGGTTAGGTATCTGCAATATTTTTACACCTAAACTGACCCATCTACTCTGCATCCTAAAAGAAGTCCTGCAATACATCTTCGTAGGTATTTTGTAATGCAGAGATAGTCTAACTCAGTGTTTATAAATTGAAAAAGTTGTTGTTGTCAAAAACCCTATTTGAAACCTCTTTTAAATTTTTATCAAATTACCTTGTTTTTAGCAAGTATTATAAGCACCAAACAATACTGATTTAATTGCTTGGCTTGCGCAAAACTTAATATAAATAAAATATGTTGACTATGTAATGTGTTGCTTTACGAAACTAATTAATATCTGCCCTTCTTTACAGACTTCAAACACATCATTACCGCTGCTGCCGAGCACGCAGCACCACCACCACCCGCATCAAGACTTTGTAAAGCTGCAGCCCCTGAACAAGAACGCAAACCTCCTTCATCGCACCGAGCATCATCTGCCCACGATTTGAGCAGAAACTCTAATTAAAAATGCCATTGCGTTGCAAGAAGTTGCACAAATTTAAATTATATACTGCTGGGAATAAATGTGTAAAAGTAATTTATTGAAAAATCTCTGGGTGCAACGTCAGTCAATGCCAACACACCGAAGTGGATACGAAACTAAGTCTAGAATGCAATTTTCATCTGCCGCATACAAAATCTGCCAGATAATGCTCCCTCCCATAAATTTTCAATTTAGTAATTCCTCGAGATTCGCAAATCACTCTAAGCTAATCTTTAATTCACTTTCCAGCTGAGACCTGAGCCAAATCCTTTTCAGCCTTGCACATACACGCACATTGAATTAAAAAACCAGCCATTTATAGAGCACGTCCTTTAGTCGAACAGTTACATTCCACCTCGAACTCTCATCAGTTCCTCCCACTTGTTGAGCCTGTTGAACTGAAAACGGTTTGAGCCACTGGCATTACCTCTAAACGCAAGGAAAGGATATTTCCTACAGGTAAATGCTAAACACATCATTTTTTTAAAAACTAAGGATGATAGCTTTTATTTAGTTTGGCTTCAGATGAGCTTTAAGTCCTTGTGTTATTACTGTGAACACAAGAACAATAGATAAGTAAGTTTTTGTAGCGAATAAATGAAAATAAGTCTATCAAGGTTTTACATACAGTTTTAAGGTGCTCCGCACTTGCAGCATTTTGTGGGCGACTTCGTCCTGTCTCTTGGCATCCCTGCCACGTTTTTGGTAACTTAATCCAGTGCTAAGCACACGACAGATAATCAGCGACACGTATCGTCTTTTGTATCCAAACTGGGGGCTCTAAAGACTTAGTTTACGTCTTTTAGGAGAGGTTTGCCTTGAAAATGGCGATAAAAGGACTGGCAAAACTCAAATCCTGTCAACTTAAAGAGCCAAGCCAAGCAAGTGGATACCAGTAATTTGAATAACTTCCTACTTACCTAATTAATGTCATGGATAAGATTAAAATCGGTGTATTGGGAGTTCACTTGAGCACATCCATCCTCTTGGTATAAAGTAGGTTTTTGCATTGCCTGTTTTTATTTGAACAAGTAATTTAACCATTTTTAGTATAATTATTTTATCTTGTTTCTGTCCCTTTCAGGTTATACGTTGAAGCTAAAGTAGGACGATTAACGCCCTTTTTATGTTTGTAACTTTATGGTTTTTTAAAGTTTTAATCTCACTTTCCTTAAAAAGAGAGGAAAAGTTATTTTACGTAAGTATCTCATGGGTCAATTGACCTCTGCAAATTTGTTTATTTTGATTTAATTGGTATTTGAAAATATGTTTTATGCTTATATAATCCGAATAACCTAGATGTATTTTTTCATGACTTTTAATTAAATTACATAAACTGTTTTGCCCTCGGGACGAAAAGTCGGAATACCAGGAGCAGCAGCAAACATTTACCAGTCGACAAAACTGTCGGCACATATCGCAGAAATCTCCTGAGGACAAGTCATGTCCATGTGGTCGAGATTTCTGTTGGCAGATATTCAGAGAAACACAGGCAGATGGTGAAAGAGGGAGGGGATGTTGTGGGGGCATCGAGAATATCGTTGAATGCCAGCTCCGAATTCCTTGCGTTATCCTTTGCGACTCATGGTCCATTGCAAGCGTCACCAATTGTTAAGCATTTGATTTTTGTCGTTCGCCGAACACAATGGTCCGCCGCCAAGTGTCCCCCACCTCTCCCCCACTCACTTGATGTCTCCTTCTATCCTCCGTTCGCCAACTTTCCCCATCGCAGTGCATTTGTTGGGAATGCAAAACGGGAAAGGCATTTGTTAGTCGAACCGGCCAGTGAAGCATCCCGCTTCCTGGTCGAGGATATGCAAAGTGTCTCCCAGACAGTTGCATAATCTGCAGTGCCGTTTATGCAAAGCGCTCACCGAAAGCCCGAAGAGCAGAACCAAGGAGGTAGAAAGTTGGGTCCTGGAGGGGCTTAGTGTATTGCCGGGGAGGGTCTCTGAATTGCTTGGCTCAGCTAAGTGCAGAAAAGAGGAATCGAAGTATTATTGAGGAAGATATGGCTTTTTACTCGCGCTGTTTACCGTCCATTGGGGCTAAGCACTTTCGAAAGTGCGACAAATCGCTATTTCTTAACAAATTTTTTAACGTTGAAATAAGCAATATATATTAGTTTTTATTGCCATCAGATTGAAAATTTTCTAAGGGAATATAATTCCATGTCTCGAATATTATGGTTGCAGTTAAAAAGAAACGAAGCAATAATTTCCCCAAGTAAATGTAAATTATATTCTACATTATTTATACAATGTAAATGGCTTCAGATGGGTGAAGTGTGAATAAAGTAAAGCTTCTTATAATTCTTTACAACCTTTTAAGTAAGCCTTGTCATCAAGCTGCCATAAAAATATTCGGATCATTTTGTTTTTCAGCTTATCTGATTCTAGGCATAGGCTGTTTAAAATGATGTAGTTTTTGTTGGTTGAGTTTATGTCGAATTTAAGTTATTTATTGCACACCGCAATATACAATGCAAATCGATAAAAACAAGAACAAAAATCGTATGCCAGCATTCTAAAGGGGGCTTACTAATTCGAAGAATTGTTAAGGTCAGCCGAAGTTCAGTGGTTAGTACCACCGGTGCATCTGGTTCTCGGCGTACCTTCGGTTGAGGTCGCTCTTCCGCTGCGCCTCCCCGCCCACTCCGTTCAGCAGCTCCTTCGTCTGCCAGTTGCGGTAGACGGCCGGGTCCTGGGCCTCCTCCTCTCCGGTGGAGAGGGCCTGCAGCTGCCACCACTTCAGCGGGGGCTGCGCCTGCGCGGGGAGCACGGACACCACTGGCGGGTGGCGGCGGGGCCAGAGCCCCAGCTTGCTCAACCGCTTCTGCTCGTCGATGTCCGTGTCGTGCATGTCGTACATGCGGAGCACCTGCGGCGGCTTCTGGGAGTCCTTCGGCCTCATCGCGAGCGGGCGGAGCGGATCCTCGCCGTAGAGCTCTCGGTAGCGGGCGCTGTTCACTAGGCCGATGATCTGGAACATGGCTACGCAGGTCACTGCGTTGTAGCCCACAAATACTGGGAAATCAGGAATATATTAGAATTAATTAATTAATTGGAGTTTGTGCATTCGTAATGGGCTCTACAACTTCGACAAGTCTATAAGACTATAAAGCATACTAAGCAATGCTAGATTGCTAAGTTTAAAAGAATTCATTATCACTGAAGAAAATCGTGCATGGTTGAGTATCCAGTTTCGAACAATATATACAGTAGACATCATTAACAAAACAAATATTTACCTTTTGAGAAACAAAGTGGATTAGAATTAAAAAAATTTATAAAATAAATTATTAAGTTTGGTAACAATGTATCAATTCGAATCTCAAGGTTTTGATTAACACTCAAGGAAAAAATATTGTTACAAGACTTCACACATTTTACATTTACATTTACATTTTAAAAATTTCAGTTTTAACTGTAAGTCCAGGGCATAATTTCTTTTTTATTAAAGTTCCCTTATCGCACAGATTTTCTTCAAACTAAAAAACTGCGTACTACTTACATATGAAAAAGCAGCCCATAAGAGTAAGAATTATAAGAAGTCCCAAGTTAATCTGTTTCTTGAGCATGATCATCAGGACAATGTGGAGAATTGTTATAAATACGAAGAGCGCGAACTCGAAGAACGCCAGGGAAAGGACATACCATTTCTGTAACTATTTAAAGCGAAAGAAAAGTTTGGAGGTCACAACCTTGGGTTTGACTTACCTTCATGGCGCCGTAAATACTCAGGACTGCAGCACCTATATGAGCAAAGGATAATATCTGGCAAACTGCAGAGAAACTCTCGGGGGCTGTAAGACAATAATAATAGCTCAGGTCCAGTGTTAGTGTCAAGCAAATACGCTCACAGTTTTCACTCCAGGAGATGTACTTTCTAACCCACTTCCTGTCCTTATACTCCGCATCGTGTTCAAACAAATCGTTTAAGGGGTCGAACACCGTCACTCCCATCGTGAACAGCACAGTGCTCAGAGCAAGGTTTCGAATCTGAAAGAAGAAAGGATTAATTAAGACTCTCCGTAACCTTTTCTTTCACACTTACAATAGTGAAAACAGCGACAATAATGACGCCGAGGCGCACCGAGCAGTAACACAAATAGGATTCCATAAACAACATATTGAAAGCGGTATTACTGCTAATGTCGGTCCGTAAATCAGAACTGAACTATCCGGTTACACGGACCTTCTCACAGAAGTGTGCTGATTCAGCGAAAAAAAGAACAACAAAAGCGGAGTAATTACCGCACAGAAAATGACAAAACCCTGTTTAAGATGCCAATCTGAATGCCACACGAAAATTGAGTGCACGGTCAAATGCGTCGAATTCAGGCTCAAATGGGCGACATCCATCATTCGGCGGCCAGATCCCAAAGAGCCAACCACAATGCCGGCGTTAGCCGGAACTGTTGGCCCAGTTAGTCCTGGGACAACATGGTGCTCATGGAGAGCTACTTCTTTTGTGCCTCGGTGCGACAGGGAGTCCTTATAGTTAGCACCGTTGCCGCCGTGAGTTTGCATTCGAAGTACTTCGACCGATTTCAGATAATTTTCACTTCACCCACTCATGTTCAGCTGAAAAGTACCGTCCTTATGTGGGTGATATTCACCAACGGAACGTCTTTCATCTTTGGAATGATTCGCATAATGGAAAACCATTACAAGACTAGCACCATTGTCAAGGAATCGGCTGACTGGGTGGAGAAGTGTGAGTTTGTACAGAATATCTAGGTGCAGTAGCAGAAGAGTACTTTTTGCTAGACAGTATCTTTTTTTTAATTTTTAAACAATATTTTGATCCCAAGGATATACTCGTACAGTATTATTGGAGTGCCTAGAATACACAAACAAACATTGCACAAAAAGACATTGAAGCGAATGTGCGAAGGAAGCTTTAAATGTTTTCATTAAACGCTTTTCAGATCCCAAAGAGCTTTTGATGTTTTTCCAACTTTACAGCTTTTGTCATATTATAACGTGTATTATGGCGGCGTTTGGAGCTTTCAAGGTAATCCATTTCACTTCCTATAAACCTAACTATTGTTATTTAGAGATCAAAATGATTAAACAATAATGATTCAGCTCTTATGAACAAATGCATTTATTTTGTTGATGCAGCTCAAAAAATACCACGTTATACCCCTGGCAATCTTCGAGTTCATTTACACAGTCCAAGTCACTGTTTTAGCTATTATAACCCTCCGGATCGCCCGACATATAGTGCCCCTGGCAACCCTTATCCTTCTGACCCTTGGACTGACATCCTATGCAAGTAAGAAAAATGATTGGATCAATAGCGACTATGGTAAAGAGTTTTATTTTCCAGTGCTCGTGGCCTACGATACTTTGGCCTTGATTGCTTTCGTACAAATTATGTTTCTGGTGTGGAGTGATCGATACCAAAGGCTTTATGGGCCCGATCCCCTCAGCCCAAGCCCAACTGGAATTCCTACACAGGGAATTAAACAAAGTTTTCCAACTCCACAGCAACCAATTGTTATTTACGTAATGCCAGTAGCAGGACAAAAGTTGTGGGACACGCCACAGGAGAAATGGTGGCAGCACGACAAATCTAATACGAAGATTCCGCAAAAAAGCCAACAGAAAGACTTTTCTGAGTTTTTCCAGCGGAAGGAGCTTATGTCAAATGTTTTGCTCCGCAACGCGATAAATGAAGATTATTTGCACAAAGATAGAGCCATAATCTAGAACTATATAAATATTCCGCAACTTTGTTCAAGAGAAGGCTATTACCTTATTACAGTTCGCAATTCTCGTGAAATTATATATTATCTGTATCTTCAAGATAGTTATGAACGTCTCAGTATGTCACTAGTACGAAATAAGCGTTAAAATTATCGCAAGGAATGCGGCTTAACTAAAAGGAATAAAAGATACAAATTAATAAATCATTTATTTGATTTTATCCAAACTCTGTCTCCTAGCTGAAAACTCATTAAGCTTTTATTTATTTACCTATTTTTGGGTTTTTCTTTGAACTTATGGAATCCTTCTCTTAATTTATATTTCAAGTTCGTTAGGAGATGAGCAAACAATATGAATTGGTTTTTTCCCTGAATGAATTGTTTGTTTTTGGATTTAATGCTTGCGAATAGTAATTGTAGTTTTCTAACTTTTTTTGAGTATTTTATTATTTTACATAAGTGAGGATTTCCTCACTTGCTTGCGAGCTAATCGGTATAAGTGTAGGAAACTTTGCTTATTTTTCCACATTGGTTAGAAAATATATCCGGTCTGTAGAAAAGTTAATACATGTAATATTTTCCTACGTATGATGAGATTGCCGTTTTTGCAACGGCTTCTTATTCAGTGTGCCGATTGTTTTTCTTTGAAACATTCTCCACAATTTATTAGAACTTCAATGTCAATTCGGGCTATTATTGTAGAGAAAAAGTCAGTCAACCAGAGTTCTTGCATTTTCGAGTTCCTAAAAATTTTTGAGGAAAATGGTCACAGACGATAAAGACATATCCTTTATGTTTTTTCATATCAACTCCGGTAATCAAAACCATAAGATTCGAGCGTTTATTTTTTTTCTCTTTCTCCTTTTTTTACAAAAGTATACATTTATGTACTTTAATACATTAAGTGAACTATAATAAGGCATTAATGCTATTTCGCAATAGGTTGCGTTTCTTACCACAAATGCGTTCCACTTCTTCGAAAAACGATTTTGATTCATTACACAGCCACACAAAAAAAAAAAATTTTCGGGCCCGGAGGTCAGACCATGTTTTCTATATGTTTTCGGGGTCGCTGAATCCGAATCCGAGGTCCAAAAACCCCAGCACGTCAGGGTTCTGACATAACCTCAAAAAACCTCATACAAAATTATATTCGAGTCCGTGGGTCAGACCATGTTTATTAAATGTTACGACATAACATCAAAAAAACCTGGAGTTTTCTGGACAACGGATTCGGATTCAGCGACCCCAAAAACATATGGTAAACATGGTCTGAGCCCAGAACTCGGAAAATAAACATTTTATCAAGTTTTTGAGGTTATGTCGCAACCCTGACATTCTGGAGTTTTTTAGACCTCGGATTCGGATTCAGCGACCCTGAAAACATATAATAAACATGGTCTGGCCCACGGACTCGAATAAAATTTTGTATGAGGTTTTTTGAGGTTATGTCAGAACCCTGACGTGCTGGCTTTTTTGGACCTCGGATTCGGATTCAGCGACCCCGAAAACATATAGAAAACATGGTCTGACCTCCGGGCCCGAAAATTTTTTTTTTTTTTGTGTGGCTGTGTTATTATTATTCAAGAGCAATCAATCAAAATGATCGAAAAATGAATAAATTATCAATTTTCTAGTCATCACGTCAAAACATAATTATTCCCAAAAAAAATAGTACGCAATTTTAAAAGTTTTTTCCATTAATGGATAATGTATTATTTTATGGAACAAACCAATGATGGAACGGTCTGCAGGGTATCTTTAAGATGTATAATGTAAATGTAATGTAATGTAAATGTAAAATACCTGCAACGCAAAAGTAAAATATCAAGCTGACACAATATTAATTTTCCTGATTCTGCCTTAGCAGCATTGTTGGTGACGGTCCCCTATAAAGCCCAAGATCTTCATAAAAAGTGATGTTTTTGCATTGGAATCTTAATGTGTGCATTGTATAAGCTTTTTTCGTGCTTCGACATGGGAGTCTACGCAAACATTACAGAACTTTCCAATCTGTTTTCGTAAGATGTCGTTAATAGTTCTTTGAAAAACGCTGGCAGCATTCTTTTGGCCGAAATGGAAGGATTTAAAATTCCTCCACTAACTGAGGCGGAGGTTTTCTCACGATTGCTTTGCCCAGGTTCCCATATATGTATGTATCATCATACCTATCAGACACCGTAGTTTTTTTTGCCTCCGCTTCATTGGCCGCTTTTCTTGTCTGATGTGTAAACTTATAGGTCAATGAAGTGACAAAATAATAACTCATTTGGGTTTGGTTATTTTTAAATGTTTTTTATTCCATTTTCTTAGGCTACATATAGTAGATGTACTTATAGCTAAGACTGCGAGCCGCGCTGCCAGTGACCCAGGTTGTCGGTATTAATAAAAGTGTGTGGATAATCAGCTTTGCTGACAATACTTTAACAGTTTCGCCTTTAACAATGCTTTTACGTCGGGAAATTACTTCTTTGTTTTTTGTGTTTATAAATGAAACAGATTCAAAAGTATCGCGAATTTTTAATTTTCGCGGGTTGCCTCATGGTACTCATGTCTCTCACTTTTGCCGACAAGCTCGGCTTGCACGTGTTTTGGATCGTCTTCGATTTTTATCTATTCGAAAAAATGGATCAAAGAACCTGTATCAAATTTTGTGTGAAAAACGAAATTAAGTGCGTGGATGCATTCCGAATGTTGACTGTGGCAGACGGAGAAGCTACCTTGGACCGAAGCAACGTTTATCGGTGGTACAAAATGTTCTTAGAAGGCCGAGAAGATGTGAACGACGAAGAGCGTGCCGCACGCCCGAGCACCTCAACAACAGACAGTTGTTGACAGTTTTCTTCGATTGCAGGGGCGTGGTGCATCATGAGTTCTTGCCACAGGGAAGAACGGTCAATAGGGAATATTACCTGCAAGTTATGCGCACGTGACTTTTTCTTGTTTACTAAACTGAAAAGGCCCATGAAAGAACGACGTTACGCTACGCTTGACGAGATAAAAACGGCATCGAAGGAGAAGCTGAACAAGATAAAAAAAATGATTTTTTGAAGTGCTTCGAAGATTGGAAAAACCGTTGGCACAAGTGCATAATATCTCATGGGGATTTCTTTGAAGGGGACAAAATAGATATTCATGAATAAATAAATAATTTTTGAAAAAACACAAAATTCGCGATACTTTTTGAACACACCTCGTTATTATTTTCAGAACAGTTTGTATCAGTTAATTGATTATAAAACTTTTCACGCTAATTGATTATAAAACTTCTCACTTTAAATAGCTATAGTGAAATATACCCTTACGTTTTACCATTTTCATTTCATTAGTTTCTTTAGAAAATGATTTTATTAGGTGTAAATTGTCTTCTTTTAAATAACTTGCTAAGCTATATAGACTTGAAGGCATAAATCTAAATGAATCCAAAAATCGAAGTTTTAAAATTTCATTTTTTCTTATTGAATTTTCTTTGATATTGATATAAAAAACTCTTTATTCAATGGTATTATAGAAATTTCACCATCAATTTTTGTTAATTCTTTCACAAATAAATGGCAATCGTATGCTGATAGATTATGGAAAAATATTGGGAAAAATGTTTCTATTTTATAGTTTATGTTGCATTCGTTATGAGCTGGACCTCTATATTTTCCGGTTAAATGACAATGATCTAAAACTTTTTCCCTATTATTAGTGATTACATTTCCGCATACACAGCCGTTTTCTTGTGTTAAGTAGCCGCAGCGTATGTGGTAGGTGGCCGGTTGGCCGGTGGCATCAACTGTAGAAATACGTCGATTAGGGTGAGAGGGTAACTGCCCTCTTTTCGCCCGCTGGCCTAGAGACTCAGACTGGGTACAAATTTAATAAATCAATTACGATGATGGCTGGAGTTTTAATTACTGAGCTTTAGCTCTTCATTCATTCAGGACATAATGTGAACTAAAGTTAAGTTGACAAAAAGTAATATATCGAGTCCTACCTTTCCAAAAGTAATGTCTTTTGACTTTGGCCAAAGTTTTGGTAATGCCAGTGTGACCTCCTTGAATGGGTTCGTTATGGTATGTAGACAGTATAGCTTCTTTTTCTTTTTCATTATTTATTAGGGTCACCGGGTTGAGTAGCGCTACTCTTAATGATTTTAATATCTTATTGCCCATTTTTTTGAAATGATCTATTGAAACGTGTTCAAAGATATGTTCCCACGGTGCCCCTTTGAGTTGGCTGGTTTTATGTACACCGGCTTGCGTTTCAAGCCTTTGGAAAAACTGACCTAAGTCAAGGACACCATTGGTATATAAATCGCTAACATCATATCTTGCAGTAATTTTTTTTCCATGTTTAAAAAGATATAGCTTATTTTTTACTTGCAAGGTCACTACTTTACGTACCTTGTCATTGTTTATGACTCCGTATACGTTGGGCTTTGAAGCTTTTTCTATAGACTGCCTAGACATGTTTATTTCATTTTCTCCTGCGCAGGATTTCTGTCTACTTTGGCATCTTGTAGTGACTTTATTTATATTTCCGGTTATATTTTGTAATTCTTTAATAATTGTTGTCATAATTGTTGTCATAATTGTCTTTTCCCTTCAAATATTCAACTAAGAAGTTGTATTCTTCTAATTCTAGCCTCATACGTGTCAGTTTGGAACTTGGGTTAGTCATTGAGAACAAGTATGTTAAAGGTCTGTGATCTGTTTTGTTAGTGATATGTTTGCCATAAATATATGGTCGAAAAAGTAATATTGCCCAGTGTATTGCAGCTAGTTCCTGCTCGGTAGTACACTTATTACTTTCTCCCTTGGTAAAGGCTCTTGATGCATATGCAATGGGAAGTTGGAGTCCGTTATGGTTTTGAATTAAAATGTGGAGCACATGCTTGCTTACTAGCATCAGTAATTATACAAAATTTTTTACTGAAATCGGGATATTGTAGCAAGGTAGGTTCCATAAGTTTTGTTTTTAAGTATTCGAATGCGTTTTGGCATTCAGCTGTCCATT